CCCCACACACACACACCCCCACCTTCCCCCTCTCCCTGCAAGAGGGAGGATTTAGCCTTTCAATGATTCATTTGAAATTCTGCGAACGCATTTCAAGGCTGGTTAAGAAAAGCTGCCGGCTTTTCCACCTGTGGAGAAAAACAGCAAAAAGGCATCCCGATGTTATAGCAACAAGAAACTGCAAACGTTAACTCCTGCTCTTACCAGTGTGAGTTCTAATGTGTCCTTGAAGTAGCCAGGGTCTAGAGAAAGCCTTGCCGCAGATCTTGCAGACACAAGGTAGCGTGTGGGTCCTGATGTGCATCTTAAGCGCTCCCAGGCTGACATACTCCTTGTCACAGTACTTGCAGCTGAACGATTTCCTAGACTGGGCATCACAGTGCAGCTGCTTGTGTTTGGCCAACCCAGAGAAAGTCGAATAGGTCTTGCTGCACAAACTGCACTGGAACTTTTCAGCTTCGATTGCGTGAGGGTCTGAAAGCTTTGACTGGATTCTCTCTTCTTCATCGCTAATGGGGCTTTCTGAACCGCTGTGATCTTTGGAGGAGGTGTCAGAAGGTGGAGGTGGGCTGACTCTTCCCAAAGACGAGGGGTATCCAGAAAGCGGAGAGAGGTCATTGGGTAATGGAGACGGTAGCAGCCCAGTTGTAGTCCACACAGTAATGGGATTGTAAGCTACTGAGCTCAGGATCTCTGGCTGTGGTATGATAGGGACTGGATAGCTTTCGTACAGGTATGGGGATATAATCACTGGAGAAAGAAGAATATTTTAAGGTAAGAGAACCAAAAAGTGTTTTTTTTTAAAAAAAAAGAAAAGTAGCAAAATTAACACTTTGAGGTTTAAAAGCTGAAGAAATGAAACACTCAATAATCTGAATATAAGGGGGATTCAGGAAATATGAATTCAGGAAATATGTTTCATACATATATTCTGATGGGTAGAGGCAGTGCCCAGGCAAATTGCAGCTGGAGAGTCCCTTCAAGGCGGCACTCTGCTTCTACATCTGCGCAGCCTGACACAATGAAGCAGTGAAACTTCAGTGAAACCGAAGGATTTGAATTAAAGTTTCAATTCCACCACCAACAGATACAGAACAGGAAAACTCCGAATCCCTTCTGAGTAACTTGAGTTCAAGCGGATGAGCAAACTCTCATGATTCATTCTGGTCAGCACTGACATATTTCTCAAAACTCCCTCCTTGCAAGCAGGAGAAAACAGAGCAAGCGACGAGCCAAGCCGTCCCCTGCAGCCTGCAGAGCAATCCCACCCCTCCCCGCCACCGCAACGAGCGCAGCCCCAGAAGCGACGCGGCGGCACCAGATCTCCTTCTGTTACCTGTGTGAGTGTCCAGCTCGCTGTAATTCGGCTTCTTGGATGAGTTGAAATGCTTCTTGACCAGGAAGGAGCGTGGCATTTTGGAGGCAGGGTCTGCGCGGCCGGGCAGACGGCGCGGCGGCGGGCGGAGCGGCGGCGGCGGGG